GTAGTAATATTGATTAGAGCAGAGAAATTAGAGGTCATATGTTCAGGAGCCCCTGAATCATTGATCCAGCTCTTAGGATAAACGAAAGAGAAATAAGAGAGTGCATAAAGTGAAGGGTTTGAAGAGGGCAGTAGTATACCTGCACAATTAGCAGAAGCAACAGCCTCAGTCATTTGCTCACCTTGTTGTCCAACTTTTACCTGTTGGAGCAAATGATAGAGCTGAGAAAATTATTCTTGTGTATGGTATTTCCTGCTGAATTTTCCTCTCCCCTATGGACTGTTTGGACTGCACTTCCTGTTCCAATTGCAGCATTAGTATGAGCAACTCCTTAATATTTTTTAGACTTAGTGAATTTAAAATCTGGGGGGAAGCCAACAATTCTGTAACACTTATCAATTGTATGCCCTAATTTTTTGCAATAGTTGAAAAACATATTAGACTTATTTGCATTGAGAGTTCCTTTGAACTTTCCTTCTCTATTTTTCTGACTGTGAAACTGTTGTTGTGATGCCATAAAAGCAGATTCTACAGAATGCACCCCAATATAGATCTCCCTTTGTGTTTCATCTTGAATCAAAAGGGAGTAGGCCTGATTTACAGTTGGAAGGGAAGACAACATCAGAATGCTACTTCTTAGTGCACCATATGTCTCATTGAGCCCTATCAAGAATTGGATAAGCCTACCATCCTGAAGAGGTTTCAAAGTTTTTGCCTTACCACCACAAGTGCAATCACAAGAGTAGTGTACACATGTTGTGTCCAGCTCATCCCAGATCTTTTTCATCTTTGTGTAGTAGCTAGCCATGTCAGAACTTCCTTGAATCATCTCACTTAACTCTTTCTGCAACCGATACAATTGTGCACCATTACATTGACCAAACCTTGCTTCCAGCTCAGTCCAGATATCCATAGCAGTCTTTGAGTATAATACACTATCTACTATGTCTTTTGAAAGAGAGTTAAGGAGCGAGGAAATGACCATGTCATTACACCTATTCCATGCCTTGAAAGAAGGAGAGTTTGAATCTGGTTCTTTGATGCTTCCATCAATGAAACCTATTTTGTTTATAGCTGAAAGAGCAATCACTATGGCTCTTCTCCAATCTCCATAGCTTTTTCTACCAAAAATAGAGTTAACAAAAACTATTCCAGGAGAATCTGAAGGATGGAGATAAAAAGGATGTGAAGAATCAGTAAGAACTGTGTTACCAGTTCGAGTAAAAGTGTTTCCTCTGTCAACAGTAGTGCTTCCATCATCTGATGAAGGTGCCATTGGATGTAGCTCAAAGAAAACAGTAAAGAAAGAAAGATTGAAGAAGAAGAAAACTTGAAAGAGAAGAAAATTCAGCAAGTTGTTCCTTGCTCTGATATGGAAATTCTCTTTTTCATTTTTTATCATTTGAATCTGTACATTGTTCCTTTATATACAAGTATGTGTAGAAAAGAATAAAAGGTAAATACAACTATGTATTTACACTTGTCTTATTCTAAGAGGCTATGTCTTAACAACCTTTTGTCCTATGTAAAAAGGTCAGATATGCACAATACTAGATAATATCTACAACTGGATTATTGAACATTCTGGAAGCATTGAGTAAAGTTCCAGCTGTGTCAAGAATCCTATATTGAAGTGGATCGAATAACCTTCTTATATTAGGCAGTCCATTCTTCTTTCTACATTAGGCCTGGATATCAAACTTTGTATATTGGCCCATTAATTTATTTGACCCGACAGACTTTATCATAAAATATTTGGGTTTTGTACTCTTCGATATATCCGATATACTTTGTATCTTCGTCTTCAATTCCTCTTTGTCTGGAGTAAGGTTTTCGATTCCAACACTTCCAACAATTTGTGATAGATTTAAATGCTTTAATAGTAGTATTGAAGGTTTGGTGAAAATAATCTAGAATCCATCATTATTGGGATATCAAAAAAAGCTTGAAAATTCAATTGGATCTTCTTAATTATTGGGTTATTGAACTCAATTTGTTGCTCGATTATTTTCGGCTAGTTGTTTAGGTAGTGTGGTTAAATTTTGGTGTTGTTGGAAATTTTCCCACAAACAACCATGGTGGTAGCAACAATGATGTTTAAGATAGAAAATGGAAAGATGAGGAAGATGAGTTTTAATTTTAATTTCTAATATTTTTTTCCTTTTTAAAGTTAATGACACGTGTCACGACCCTATTAGAGCGTGACTTTCACGTTATCTAAAAAATTGGCCAAGCACAAAAGTGATGTGTCTTAGACACATTTTTGAAAGATTGAATGGGTAAAAAATTTCCCGTAAAAGATAAGTGTGTAACAGGGATTTCGCTGTAAGGTTGATGGATAAACTATGTATTATGCCTAAAATTAATAGAGCCATTTGTTCATTATCTCTTTAGTCCTACTGTATAAATCAGAATTTTGTTAGGTAAAGGTGGACCAGGATTTAATTAACGCGGGTATTTTTTGGTTAATAAAATGAAAATCTTAAGTCTAAATATCCGTCGAGTTAAATAAAACATTTGTTGTGTAAAGTGAAGATAACATACTAAAAACAGACTTTTATAGTACTATATTTTCTCAACACTGCAACATATGAGTTGGCTCTACTTCGAGGTCAGTTATCATATTAAAAAAAATTTGGCGAAATTGATTAGTCAATTGAAAAGTCTGTATTGTTTTGTCATATTCAAAGACTCGAGTTTATCATATTCAAAGACTTGACGATGTTTGACAATTGGGATTATTATAAAATGGCATACAAAAGATACATAAATTATAAAAATGAATTTACACTCTAGTATATAATACTCCTAGTAATTACTTGGAGTGCGAGAGGTTGGCCCTGAAGGGCCGGAGGAGAGGTAGAGGTATGCCGGATAAGCATTGGAGAAAGGTCATTATGCAAGATATGACGTTGTTCCAGTCATGGATAGGAATATATGGATATTGAGAATAAAGGTAAATAGTTAGGATGGGTAGCCAAGCGTTGTCCAGTCTGTGTTTTGTTGTATCCCTTAACTTCTGTTATTACTTGTTGTTGTTTTCGTTTCGGCTTTTTGATTAAGTACCTACGGTTAGTTTTGTGTTTTCGTTTCGATTTTTCAATTGGTATGCTTGGTTGTTGTCCTTCTTTTATCTTTCTTGAGCCAAAGGTCTACAAGTCTCTCTGCCTTCTTAAAAGTAGGGTAAGGTCTGCCTACACTCTACCCTTTCCGACCCACTAGTAGGATTACACAGGGTGGTTGTTGTTATTGTAGTAATTACTTGGATTATTATAGGATATACTTGATTCATCGTACTTAAAGATATATTATTTAATTTAAAATATGTTTACTTTAATGACTAGTGTAATATATTCTTATATTCTAAATTGGTGTACAGCTGGTCCATAAAATATATTATTCCCAACTTATCCTCAAGTAACAGTTATACTAATAATTACTCATATTTGGCAGGTAGAAACAAACGTTTATCATATGGAGGACAAAATATACTTTCAATTACCAAATAGGACAAAATAACCAGAAAAGTAAGTCATAATATTATCTTTGATGAAAAATAATTTAAAATATTTTGAAAAATGTCATTCACGAGTAACATATTTTCTACCCACTATTAAATATTATACTTGCCAACTTCCAAAATTTACAGCTAGTCAGTTGACGAATCATTTACTATTTCAAGACAAAATTATGTTTTTCTAAAATTGTGAAATAATTCTTTAATTTATTAATGTGTCACCCTTGCTCCACACAGTATCCCCTAAAACTTTCTCTTTAAGTAATAAATTAAATTACCCCTAAATTCCCTACCATTTTAATTATCCTACAAAAAGAAATATGACTATTTAGGAATATATTCAACTTATTTACAATTCTTCTATTCACTAAATCTTAATAAGATTTCACAAGTCTCTCATTACTTAATTTTTGAATTTTTAACAAATATATTTGTCGATGAACTAGTTGATTTGTCGCAATTCTCGAATAAGACGTTTATTCTATTTTTTTGGTTAATGGTATAATTACTTAGCTTGCAAGACTATTTGTTTTTAGCAATACTTGATACTACGATTTTTAAGTTAGTATTGAAGGATCTCGAAATACTAATGCATAACAAGCACTTTAAAATAATTGTTTAAATATTCTATAGAATAAATTTTTACGCAAATTATATAATATAAAACTTGATTTCCAAGCAACTGCTTAAAGTACCGCTCAAATCCATAATATCTCCTTCTCAAATGAGGTCCCACTAAGAAATTTGTTTTTTTTTTTTGCTAATAAGAAATTTGGTTATTTCAAGTAATATATTCAACTAAAATCAGATTCTTTTAACAACTACCATTTTAGTAGATTTCATAAATCTTTTAATTTTAAATTTTCTACTTCGTACAAAAATATAAAGTCTTCTCACTTCCGATCTCAACCATTAATTATCTACTTACCCTTATCAGCAGATATACGACGAATCTAACATTTATCCTACATATTTTATTACGGCTATAAAAAAATCATATCGATCAATAGATCTTGAGATACTAATCCATAATAACAACTTTCAAATATCATCTATGATTCATCGCTATTTTTATATAAGACAAAATATTAGTTCGTTAAGTCGTTTCATTTCAGATCTTGACCGTTAATTACCTACTTACCTTATCCACAAATATACCGCTAAGATAACACATGTTCTTTTCATTTTATAATGACTATAAAAACAATTTGTTCAGGCTCATCAACGGATCACGAGATACTAATCTGTAACAACAATTTTCAAATATCTTTATCAGTTCCTAAATCAACAGATACTAATTCATAATATTAGGCTTTCAAACAAAAACTGTCTCATTTTCTTAAAAAAGAAAAAAGAAAAAAAGAAAAACAAGAAAGAAAAAAAAAAGCAATAATTCCAAAATCCAAACATGTATTTTGGAAAAAATAAAATAAATAAAATCCAAACATGTGTAAAATATAAAAAAGAACCTTCTCCCTTTACTCATACTTTTCCTTTTCCAATTCCACCATTTAAAACCCTCTTTCTTCTTCCAAAAAAATCCTAAACAGCTTCTTTCGCTGTTACTATTTCTCTCTGTTGTTTGATACCTCTGACTCTGTTCCCATATATACAGAACTACTTGCCGTCGCTTTCTTCCGAACCCCCAAAACACACACACACACACACAGAGTCGAGCAGTTTTTATCACTCTGTTTTTGCTGACTTTTTTCGGGAAAACCCTTTTTGTTTTTACCAATGCAAAGACGAATTTCGCCTTCACCGGCGGTGACCCAACCCCGATATGGGTTTCACCGGAATCAGCCTATGCGTTACCGGTTCGACCGGCCACCGGAAAAACCGATACAAAAACCGCCCAATTTCATAGTCCAACTCTGTTCAACTCACAGGGTTCTCACCAGGCCACAACTAAACTCTCTAATTTCAAAATTACCATTCACTCCTCAAAACTCCTTTGTGTTTTCCTCCGGTTTCGTCGTCGGAACCCTACTGTACGAGCAGTGGAACCAGGCGTTAGACGTGACGGTTGAATTATGGAAGCTAAAGTTAAAAAGTGAGCATTTTTATATCCCGTTTGTTAAAGAAAATATTGAGGTTTCATCTGATAAAGAGGAGTTGAATAATAGTTTAAAGGGTGTTTTTTTAGACCATTTGTATGGGATTCTTGATGGGGTTTTAGTGCAAAAATGGGAGCAAAAGTTGGGTTTTTTAATGAATGAAATTGATGGGGTTTCAAGTTTGTTAAGGAAACATAATAGGATTGGAGTTTATAGTGATTTGTGTAAGAAAAAGAAGGGTCTTGAAGCTGAGAGGGATTTGATTAAATTAAGGATTGATGAGTTTAAGAATGGGATTAAATGTATTATTCAATATTTAGAGGAGGAGGAAAAGGGATTTGTTGAGAACGAGGAGGGATTTAGGGTGTTAAAATTTGGCGGGGAAGAATTTGATTGGGATAGAATTCATTGTTTGATGATGAGAGAATGTAGAAGGCTTGATGATGGCTTGCCTATTTTTGCTTTCAGGCAGCAGATTCTTAAGCAAATTCATTGCCAACAGGTAACTATCTGTTAGATTTTTGTTACTCCGTCCATTTTAATTTGTGTGAACCTATTTGATTAGCTACTAAGATAAGAAAGGAAGGATGATTTTTGAAACTCGCGGTTTAAACATGTAATATTTTTGTGTTTCTAACTTGTTGTCTTAAACAATGACATGCTATAACATGCTTTAAAAATTTCTCGTTGAGGGTAAAATGGGAAATTTTAGTGAAATTGTTTCCAACTTTATAAAGAGATCTTTGGAATAGACGAAAAAGGAAATAGGGCCACATAAATTTGAATGAAGTGATCTTTTACTGTTTAAAAAAGGTTGTTTTCCCTCCATAAATCCATCGCGCCACGGGAGCAAATTTACCCTTAAGTCAAGGCTTTTAAGCATGTACGATGCATATCGACATCAAGATAAGCATACTGAGATGTACGCATGGGTACGAAACATGTAATATTTTTGTGTTTCTAACTTGTTGTCTTAAACAATGACATGCTATAACATGCTTTAAAAATTTCTCGTTGAGGGTAAAATGGGAAATTTTAGTGAAATTGTTTCCAACTTTATAAAGAGATCTTTGGAATAGACGAAAAAGGAAATAGGGCCACATAAATTTGAATGAAGTGATCTTTTACTGTTTAAAAAAGGTTGTTTTCCGGCCATAAATCCATTGCGCCACGGGAGCAAATTTACCCTTAAGTCAAGGCTTTTAAGCATGTACGATGCATATCGACATCAAGATAAGCATACTGAGATGTACGCATGGGTACGAGATGACTGCAACTAGAACATGTGATCCATCTTGGTAAAAGAGTAACGAGCTTATATTTTATCTGCAGATTTATGAACTTAAGGGGCTTTTCTGCGAATCTTTGCTACAACATTTGCAGAAAAATAACAATTATGCTCTTTTTAACATATGCCAATTGAAATTGCAACTATTGTTATTTAACCAAAAATAAAAAAATAGACTTGCAACTATTTTTTTATTTTGTAGGAATTTGGCTAGAACATTTTGGTGAAAGAGTTATAAATTGCTTTTACTGATTAAGAGGAGCTTAAATTGTGTTTAATGATTTTATCTTGTTGTTTGCAGGTGCTAAAGATAATTTTTACCTTGTATTGTTGTTCTCAATTTTGTCATTTGATTATAACTTATAAGATGTATTATTCATTTTTGACTTTTCAACAGTGGTTTTTATCAAGGAATAAGCTTTTAGGTCTGTTTGTATGCATCTTAGGTGATTTAAATAAAAGGGCAACCCGGTGCACTAAGCTCCCGCTATCCGCGGGGTCAGGGGAGGGGAAGGGACGGACCACAAGCGACCCGTGCTGCCCTTTTATTCATATCGCCTAAGATGCATACAAACAGAAGGATCATGGAGTGATCTGAATGAGATGAGTTTTTTTTTTGGTGGCTTTAGTTTTTATTTTTGGGCGCGATGCGTTGCGTTATTTTTTGATGGTTATGTTCTAGGTGACGGTTTTGGTTGGAGAGACTGGATCAGGAAAGAGTACACAATTAGTGCAGTTCCTTGCTGATTCAGGAATAGCTGGCAATGGTTCTATGATTTGCACTCAGCCTCGGAAACTTGCTGCCAACTCTTTATCAAGGAGGGTTAGAGAGGAAAGCCAGGGGTGTTATGATGATAATTCAGTTACCTGCAATCCATCATATTCGTCTTGTCAACAGTTTGATTCAAAGATAATGTTTATGACAGATCACTGCCTACTACAGCACTATATGGGTGACAAGACTTTGTCCAAGATTTCATGCATCATAGTCGATGAGGCACATGAAAGAAGCCTAAACACTGATCTTCTTTTAGCATTGATAAAGAACCTACTTCATCAGAGGTTTGATCTGAGGCTTATTATTATGTCTGCCACCGTTAATGCAGACCAGCTTGCAGATTACTTCTTTGGTTGTGGAACTTTCCATGTGGCGGGTAGAACTTTCCCGGTTGATATTAAGTATGTCCCCTGTGAATCTGATGTCCATCCTGCTGTAGGTGCAATTGCCCCTTATGTCCACGATGTTATCAAGATGGTGACTGAGATACATAGAACGGAGGGAGAGGGAGCTATTCTAGCATTCTTGACATCTCAGAGTGAAGTTGAGTGGGCTTGTGACAAGTTTCAAGCACCTCTGGCCATTGTTTTACCTTTACATGGCAAATTATCTTATGATGACCAAAACCGAGTGTTTCTCTTCTATCCAGGGAGGAGAAAGGTAATATTCACCACAAATCTTGCCGAGACATCACTGACAATTCCCGGTGTCAAATATGTTGTTGATTCTGGTGTGGTTAAAGAAAGCAGGTTTGAACCTGGCACCGGCATGAATGTTCTCAGGATATGTAGCGTGAGCCAAAGTTCCGCTAACCAGAGAGCTGGTCGTGCAGGGAGAACTGAACCTGGAAAGTGTTACAGGCTATACTCTCAAAGTGATTTTGAGGGAATGCCTTGTCATCAGGAACCTGAAATTTGCAAAGTTCATCTTGGTGTTGCAGTGCTGAGGATTCTTGCATTAGGTATCAAGAATGTCCAGGATTTTGATTTTGTTGATGCACCTAGCCCCAAAGCTATCGAGATGGCCACCCGAAATCTGGTTCAACTCGGAGCTGTTACACAGAGAGATGATGATACATATGTATTAACTGCAGAAGGACGAAAACTGGTCAAGTTGGGTATTGAACCTAGGTTGGGCAAAATGATCCTCGGTTGCTTTGATCAACGTATGGGTAGAGAAGGTGTTGTGCTTGCTGCTGTCATGGCAAATTCCAGCAGCATTTTCTGTAGGGTTGGCTCCGAAGGAGACAAGCTAAAATCTGATCGCCTTAAGGTGCAATTTTGCCATCCAAATGGTGACCTCTTTACTTTATTATCTGTTTACAGGGAATGGGAGGCTGTGTCTAGGGAAAAGAAGAATAGCTGGTGCTGGGATAATAGTATCAATGCCAAATCCATGAGAAGATGCCAGGAGACTGTGCAGGAACTGGAAGCCTGTCTTCAAAACGAACTAAATATGATCATTGCCAGTTACTGGCAATGGGATCCTCAAGTTCATACCAAGCATGACGAAGTTTTGCAGAGTATAATTCTTTCTTCCCTTGCGGAAAATGTTGCTA